GGGAAAACGTAGAGGTGTTTGGTCGCGGATGAGCGCATTGAGCGCATTTATTTAATTTTTGAGCTGTATTTAATTAAAATATATTTTTATTTATGTATATTGAGCTGTATTTAATTAAAATATAATTTTATTGGTTTTTTTTTTGTTTGTTTGTTTTTTTACAGGTGAGTGATGTGATGATGTGTGAATTCTCGTGTTGTTTATGCTATTTGCAGATGTAAAAGTGAACAAAACTATTTTTTTTTTAGTTTTAAACACGTCAGACACTTTATCCATTCTTACAACCAGGTTAGGTGCTTCTACATCAGTGTTATTCACCTTTCACTTTTCTTCAGATTTTAAGGATAATTTATCGGTAGGGACTACATTTTCAGACATGAAGAAAACAAAATATGTTAACTCAGGAACATGTCTTAGCCTACATGACCGTGAGCACAGAGACACTGTGAGCTTATAGCTTAAACGTGTAATATGAATAAATCATGCTCATGAACGGCTGTTCCCAATCTCAAGTGAAATGAGTCAAGTGAAAAGTATTCATTATGTCACGATTTAACAAGCAGATTGGCATTTTTGTCGAGGGAACCAGGGTGATGGTCCCATACAAATTCCAACGCATTCTCGCCCCAAGGCGAGATTTGACCATGCTTCAATATTTGACGTTTTAGGCGCCCTTTAGCGTCAGTTAGAGGACGCGGTTAGGTTTAGGTCTGGGGTGGGGGTAGGCTACACGCGATCCTATGGGCGTCATCTAACTGACGCTAAAGGGTGCCTAAAGCGTCAGATATTCAGCACTTTATTTTTACACAAAGTTTAAGCGTGCAAAATAGCCTAAATAAACTCCAAATGAACATGCGATGCAGTGGTGTTTTCCTGTCGCATACTGTTTCTCATTGCAGTTCCTCAGTTTGTAGTATGTAAGCGTTCCCCTCCACACACAGCCAGGGTCTTATTGCGTATTTTTTGTTCTTTCATTCAAAGACGCAAACATTAAGCGCATTATTTAGAAACTGCAAGACGAGAAAAAGAACTTGAACAGAAATGAGTGTGACATTCGGAGTACTTTGAGCTTTCTTCTCCGTGTGAGCTCTCGTTCTGCAGCCTATTTCCATATAAAGCAGCCTCCTGCCTGAAGAAAGAGAGAGAGAAGGGAAAAAAACACACCTCCCTCTGAGACACAGACAGAGAGAGAGAGAGAGAGAGAGAGAGAGGAGAGAGAGAGAGAGAGAGAGAGAGAGAGAGAGAGAAGCTGCAGCCCGACTCCGATAACAACATTCAACTCAATTAAGCTTGAGATTGGGGCCGTTCTCTACCAGAAACGATGAGCGCGCGGATAAAAGTGTAATCACAGGACCGCTGACCCTACAGGTCTTCTACCTGCTCTCTGTGATGATAGCAGAGGGTGTATTTAAGCATGCTTGCTGAAGTCTCTCGTGATTATACGTGCATGAGGATCATTATACCCCCTGCTGGAGTAGGAGGGAGTGTGAGGGACTGATAACACAAGCCCCGTCCCCTTAAACACCCCCGGCCCTCCCTTCTCTTCTGTTCACAGAGTGCGAGTTTATGCTGTTTGCTAGTAATATTTAGACCTATAGTGATTTGTATGGAAGCTTGTTTCCACCACAGAATTAAAAAAAGAAAAAAAAAGAAAAAGTAATTGCGACTTTTTAATCTCACAATTAAGACTGATAACTTTATCAGTTTTTATTAAGATAACTCAGAATGATCTGAGCTGAACTACCACTCAAAAGACCCCGTAGTCTAGCCTATATATTTAATAAAAATATATAGGCTAGACTACGAGTAATAACCATTATTAATAATTGAGCAGAATGAGCACCAATAATAATCAATCACCAAATTAGAATGATTTCTGAAGGATCATGTGACTACTTTAGACTTTGGATTATTGACACAAATTTCACAATTCGATTCGAACATTAAAAATTATAATGAATATGGTGCATATATTTAGCAAAATTCTCCTCTTAATAGAGTTTCTAGCTGACTAACCGACTAAGATCATGGTCACATTGTTTTTCTGAGGTAAATGTGACGTTACAACATGACATTGCGAGCTGTTTAACTGAAGTCTTTCCACGGATGAAACACTGATTGAGCGAGACCATGTTAAAGGGATAGTTCACTTTGAAATTAATTTTTGATATGTTTTAGCTTACCTCAAGGGCATCCAAGATGTAGGTGTCTTTGTTTCCGCAGTATTTTCAATTTTGACATTTTTCAGTCAAACCGTTGTTGTCTATCAATCATACACTGGAGGCTAAGGGGGTCCACCAAAGAGCATGCACAGAGAAGTCAAAATTAAACATGATTCAATGACTCCAAATGTAAGTACACATTGATGGCCTAAGACACGAAACGAGCGGTTTGTGTGAGAAAAAAAACAGTATTTATATCGTTTTTACCTCTTGTAATCATAGCCATGACAAAATGATCTGACGGCACGGGCGCTTTTTTGGAAGTTTTACCTTTCACTAAACATATTTAGATATACGGGAAACCGCAATGGAAGACGATTTCGGTATATCTATATGTTTAGTAAAAGGTAAAACTTCCGAAATCTCCGTGTAAATATTGAGTGACGTCACACGCAAGCGATCACTTCCGGCGTAACATTGAACTGATTCAGTTCGGTTCAGTTGGACATTGCACAACTGATTCAGATCACTTGGACGTCACTGTGATTACACGAGGTAAAAACGATATAAATACTGTTCATTTTCTCACAAAAACCGCTCGTTTCGTGTCTTAGGCCATCAATGTGTACTTATATTTACGAGTCATTAAATCATGTTTAATTTGGACTATTTGGTATTTATGTTTTTTGAATTTCGTAAGAAAATGGACGTAATTTGAAATTCAAGACTTTATTTTTATAACAATAGTCACAAATCGCAAAGATTATCGCGCTTTATTGAATGGGATGCTCGCTACAATGTTCCATTCATCAAATGAAAACAGGATGACTAGTCGAATCTTGAGATTTAAGAATCGATATCGGTTCGTAAAAATGAGAATAGATAGAGACATTTTTACCCAGCCCAACTGAAGACTGGAGTAATGATGCTGAAAATTCAGCTTTGATCACAGGAATAAGTTACATTGTACAATATATTCAGGTAGAAAACGTTTATTTTAAATTGCAATAATCGTTCACAGTACACTTGTTTTACTGTATTTTTGATCAAATAAATGCAGCTTTGGTGAGCATACAGTAATAAACTTCTTTTAAAAAACATTGAAAAGTCTCATCTTGTCAGCAGTGTCGTCTGCTACCTTAAACATTTTGAAATATTTAGCCTACTATAAAACGCCATGACTTCACAGCAATTAAATGAAATGTGTGTGTAATGCTAAATGCTAAAAGAACAACATCTGAGCCATCAAATGTTCCTCAGGGTGTGTTTGAGAGAGGCAGAAGTTCTTCAACATTAAGAAGACTATAATGGAGAAGCAGAAGTTGTGGGAGAGTCGTGGGCATGAGGCCAACCAGACCTCAGCAGGAGGAACAGCTTGGCTTAATGACTAATTTAGACATCTTAACGACAATTAACTCCCCAATTAACACATCTCACAATATGGTGTTTACCTTCCAAAGTCTTCAAAGCAGTTTTCTATAAGTCCACCGAGAACAAACTATCACATATTCTCCCACTCATAATCATTAACATATGCTTTCAGAGAGCTGGAATTGAGTTCACTGCAGTAAAAGTCCTGTCGCACATATAGGCTGCATCCGAAATCGCATACTTTCCTACTATATAGTGGGCAAAAAACAGTATGTGACAAAAGTAGTATGTCAGAGTTCACAGTACTCGACCTAATACTTCCAGCGGGATTCTGAAGTGTGCATAAGATGGACACTTTACTAGCTAAAGAGTTCTACTGGTGCAATTTACCAAATCCATTCTTTGATTGGTGGAGATTTCTTCGCAGAATTATGGGTAATGTAGTTTTTCACCAGTTAAACAATTATAAAAAAAAATAAGTTGAAATAATCACTGTAAAAAAATATTTTCAAGATTTGTTATCACAACATATTTTCTTTTGTCAAATCAACTTTATAATAATTTATTTAGTTGAGATAACTTATTATTTTTAACTTCTAATGGTTAAATTAATCTACTTCATTGTATTAACTCACTTTTTTCAGTTCAATCAACTTAAAATTTTAAGGCAACCCAGGTTACTTACTTTTTTAAGTTAAACCAACAATATTTTTTTTACAGTGTAGTAATCACAACATTTTTTCTTTTGTCAAATCAACTTAAATAATTTATTAAGTTCAGGTAACATATAATTTTGAGTTTCTGATGGTTAAATTAATCTCCTTCATTGTATTAACTCACTTTTTCCAGTTCAATGAACTTAAAATTTTAAGGCAACCAGGTTACTTACTTTTTTAAGTTAAACCATCAATATTTTTTACAGTGTAATGGATGGCTTCAACTAAAGCATATACCATAAATTAATGACCTTGTAGCTCACAGTAAGGATTATAAAATTTGACGATTACATAAAAATATAAACAGCCTTTTGTTCTCTGGAGTCATGTGCACAGATGAATCGTAAGACCAGGAAGTAAATCATGGGTTAAATTTTGACTTTAAAACGCACTAACATCCGTAAACTCCACGAGACAAACACACACGCGTGGCGAGAGAGCTGCCACAGTGATTTATCTGATTCAATTAGCTTGCAAATGTAAAACAAGTCAGTTCAATAAAGAGCTAAAACCTCTCTTTCTTCCGTTCGCTCTCCTCTTCGACGTCTCTCGCTCGACCTCCCTCTCTTTGCTGAATAATGAGAGTGTGTAAATGCTTAATTAGATTAAAAGGGTGTGTATAACGATATCAAGATGTTGTGTGTGTGAGTGTGTGTACGATCTCTCTACAAATCTCTCTACATTAGCGTTGTGTTATTGTGGGCAGGGCTGAGAATTTATGATGCACAAAAACCCTGAAACATCAAACCCATTAAAGAATCCTGATTTATTCTCTGTGAGCAATGAGGAAATATATCACCCATAAAGAGGCGTGTGTGTGTGTGTGTGTGTGTGTGTGTCAGGAACTCCTGGGAAGCATGTGTTTAATAGGAGAGGCTTAGCCAAGGTCTTTTTGAAAGTGTGTGACCTGAAAAACAAGTTACAATACAGAAGGAAAGCGTAAGTTATGATGCAGAAGAAAAAATATTAAAATTGCATGCAAGGAAGACTGACCCAATTTTCCGTTAAAATTAATATTACCTTGTACTTTTAATTTATTTTACTATGCCGCAAAATTGTACAATGAGATTGTATAAACAATTTGCCAATTGTACAGTTTTGCTATTGCAAAAAGCATATTAAAAACAGACGATAGATTTAGAAAGATATTTATATAATACGGTTTTCAAATAAATTGTTCTAATTAAGAGACTATCGGATTCTAAATGGCAAATATTACTTTCATTTTTATTCAGATCTTAAATAGTTCACTGTAATCAGTTATTTTTTGTTAATTATATTATTGTATTTTGTGCTAAAATGTAATAACTTCATTATGTAGAACTTAATTTGAAACACTTTTCACTCAGAAATTATTAATAAAGTAATTGCAAAGAAATGGAAAGTAACTCATTAAATTAAATGTGACATATAGAAAGACTGAAATAGTATTTTCTTGTAAAACACACTCCAATAATCTTTGTTTTATGTACAAATTCGAAAAATATTTGTTTTAGTGTCACAAATCAGATATATCTATCCATAAACAAGTAATACGTAATTTATGTAATTCATCAAATTCAGGTGAATTGAAATTTTCAGGTAAGCTAATGTTTTTGCTTTATGTAATGCAAATGTGTCAAACCAAAAAAGCACGCTAAATTAAAAGCCAGATCTCCTGTTATCCATCATGCAGTGAGCAGACTCACATGCCATTAATGAATGAATCATCTAATTAGCGTGTAAATCAGAAAATATACTGAATGTTTTATTTGAGCATCTTTGGTTTTAAGAGATCAGCCATTCAGAAGGAATATAATATCAGAGCTCACGCTGCTCCTTTGGCGTATCTGTGTGTGTGTGTGTTACAGAGCGGTTCGTTTTAATAAGACGGACAGGAGAGAGTCGTCTTTTCTCTTTAGCGAGTAGAGTAGACCTCTGAAAGCCTCAAGAAAGGCTTTATTACGAAACTAAACCTCCATAATAAGTGTCAAATATAGCGTGAGGGGTCACTGACCTTTGACCTGAGTTAGGCACTGCTGTGGGCAGGGGGTTTTCTCAAAGACTTGCGTGAAGATAAAGATCTTGTGCTGGACACCAAAGGATCATGGAGCGTCACATTGAAGGTGCCTTTCAGAACGGTGTCCATGATGACTGGACTCAACTACAACACACACACACACACACAATAGTGAATTGGTGTACTTGTATTATGTATTTAAAAAACAAAATACTATATTATACAGTATATATACCAAGCAGCAACCTCCCTGTCTCTCTCTTGAAACTAACACGGAAGTGAATTAAACTGCAATTCATCGACTGACCACTAGAGGCAGGCTCCAGAAGAGAGTCAAATCTTTGGCTGCGTCCGAAATCGCGTACGATGTGAGTAGGTACTATATTTAAATAAGAACGTACTTCGCGACCGTTAAAAAGTACGTTCTATATAGTATGAATACGGGTAGTATGAATGAGTCCGGTGTGGTGAAGAGATGAGTCCCCCTGAAGAGATGGGTCCCACCTTAGGACCCAAGCGATTCGATTGGTTCAAAGCTAGTTTTATGGGTAATCGCTTTAGTGCCTGGTTACAAATTAGAGAAAATCACTTTATTATAAGAGACGTTTGAAGTACGTTATAACGAGTCATTAATGTATTTTAACTTATATGTTTCATATACTAGTATATAACCGAAGCTGTAGATTGTAAATTTAAACATTTCTCGTTCTTAGTGTTTTTAGTCAGCTTACATAGTAGATAAAAGATAGATAGTAAATAAACCACATATTTGAGCTACATTCTCGACTTAAAAACTCTTAAAATTACATTTCATGACACAATAACAGTAATATTTTTACATTTCGCGGACTTTCTCCTCTGCTGTTGACGCAACCTACTATGAAAAGCGCTAAACAAAACAAACATATTACTTGATGGCAACAAACTGTTTTTATCAAGTTATAGCGAGAACATATTTATATCAGGCATACTACTAGTATACTATGGGGTCCTAAGGTGGGACCCATCTCTTCGGGGGGACTCATCTCTTCACCACACCGGACGTACCACATGCACCATGTTGTTGTCGTGTGACATACGCGGTCACAACAGTGCGAAGATTTAAAGAGCCCATTACAGTGACTCCACCAACGTCGCTCAGTTTTTAGTTCTGCTATCTGTTTTCATTTGCGTTTTTACGTCGTCCGAGCCGACAATCAAGAGGAGGCGTCGGTCAGCTGCTCGCAGGTCACGCCTTTTGCGTAACTTCTCAAATAACATTTATTTACCTAATACATTTTACCTCATAAAACACACACACAACCCCTATGAACAATGACAGATGGCAAGGAAAAAGCCATTTATTTGCTTGTGATATTACCATTGATAAATAAACATGAATGAATCAATAGACCCCTTTTGCGCTGACGTCACAGTTACGTCACGGCGCTAGCTGGAGGCAAAACAAAGTGAAAACTGGGGGCGGCCAATACAAACCAGCACAGATTCGGCTACATAATAAGGAGCTTAAATAATTGTTACTATTATTAAATGTCATCTTGTTGTGTTGTTTGGTGCAAGAATTGATGAAAAATGAAAAACTTTTATTTCTAGAAAATATTCACATCATTAAAATCGCACTGTAATGTCACTCTTTACATTGTCGTGGTCTCGGCGCTGGCTCGGCAGAACTGCGGATCGTACACACAATTCTTGTACAGGACCATATAGGCATCTAATGATTTATATGCCCTCAGTTTCTCTTTACGATCGGTTTCTCTATAAGGTAGGTGTAGAAGTCAGGCCACTCAACCGAGGTAACGTAACGTTAATCCTGTCAGATCATCCATCATTGAGTGAGCGTGTAGGCGGCTACGGGTCGGCCAATCTGGTTCCGTCCGTTAAAAATAACTTGGAAATAACAATCGCGGTCCTGGACACTGAGTGACCTTACACATTAAGATAATATCGGATTTTCTCCAGTCATTGTTAAAAAACAAGCTAACAATCCTTGCAAACTAGCGTTAGTGAAGCGGCCAGAGGGATCTTTCTGCCTCCACCTAAGCTCCGCCCACATAAAAACGTCACCGTGTTTACCAACTGTAAAGGGGTCTATAGAGATATGCATGTGTGTCTGTGTTTATCTCCTAACGTTACAGCCACGTCTCCGGTTTCCACCATTTTCAAATATAACGACAACTCCTCTCCCGTGGCATCGTGGGATAGTAAAGTGTCCATCGTATGCGCACTTCAGAATCTCGCCGGAAGTAGTAGGTCATCCGGGTACTTTTCGCCCACTGTTTTTCTAATTCTATGATTTCGGACATACTACTCTGCTCGGTTTGAACTCAAGATGATCGTCTTGACCATGTTGGGGTTGCTGCCATGTGATTGGCTGGGTTAGATATTTGTGCTGGGTTATAAATATATTCAGGTTATATATATATATACTGTCTGTGTTTGTATATATAAACACACATATACATGCATATAGACACAGGTACATACCTCATATGCTGTGGGTCCAGGTGTCATGTCTTTAGGGCTTTTAAAGCGGTCTTCTTTTGAGACCATCAGCGCAAGTTGAGGGTCAGACTTAACATCTGGACTGTAATGAGCAGGACCTACAAAAATAACAAGTAGTTTAGCTGGAATACTTGAACATAACTCCCTAAAAACACTGTTTACATGGAGCAAATTCCACCATTATGTTGATAAAGCAAGTTCCTAGGCCTACACTATTAGTCCCCAAATTAAGGATGCTTTAAACTACTTTTAAATAAATGCAACAACAAAACACAAGCTCTGCATTTCTGCTTTTAAACAAATTTCTAAAAAAGTACAACCTGCCTCTAAAAAGTCTGCAACTTTCATATTAGAATACGTTACACTTTTGACACATTTGTATACTATTTGTTTTGTTACTGCGATGAGACGACTCAACACCTGTGAAGAGACGACTCAACGCCGGCGATATGTTATACCCTTAATATTACATGATTAACTAAATGTATTTTTCCATGTACTTTTCTGTAATGCACTTTCTATAAAGCTGCTTTGAAACAATATGTATTGTGAAAAGCGCTATACAAATAAACTTGAATTGAATTGTTCTGATTTTATTTATAAATAAAATCAGAACAATTCAATTCAAGTTTATTTGAATATATATATATATATACAAATAAACCTGAATATACAAGTATATACAGTATATATACTGTATATATATATATATATATATATATTCAAAATTGAATATATAAAAAATTAAATTCAAATAAATTCAAATTGAATATATATATATATATATATATAGTAATTAATACAAAGCATTAGGCCTACTAATATTTAACTTTATTGTTGTCTCTTTATTATAATTTTGTACAATGAAAATTTGCAAAAGCTTTTGCACATTTCAAAAAGTAGTTTTGTTATGCCAATAAAGCTCATTAGAACTGAAACTGAAAGACAGAACTAGATCGACAGAGTTTAATAATGTAATACTTCATATCCATTAATAATTAAGAGACTTCTTAATTACTAATGTCTCTCCTACTCTTGAATGTTTAGCCACATAGCATAGCACTTCCCATATAAACTGCCTTGTTTATTTGTACAAACTGAAGGAGCAATGGACAGATAATCGACAGCAGGCCTCAAATGCTGTTCACAGAGATCAAGTAAGCGTTAGTCACCTGGTGTATCAGGGTCGTATTGTAGGAAGGCAGGGTCTCTGGGGGCGGCAGACAGGAAACAGCTCTGTCGCTTGCGTGCTTTCTCACTCCGTGGCTTGCTGTAGTGATGGAGACCGTGGGTCTTCTCGAAAGATTCGCTCACGTTATATGAGCCTGGCGGAGGAGTCTCCTGTCAAGAGCAATCTAATATCTAACCACAGCATTATAAACATCATCTGCAAAATGGATTTACAGCAGGTACAAATGAGCCAGGGGGTCGGATATGTGTGTGTGTGTGTGTGTGTGTGTGAGCTGTAGGAGCATTATTGCAAAGTACTGCGGGTTTTTACAAAATGAATTATAAGTCAAAATCATTTTAGTTGTGTTGCATGCTACAGATGCTGTACATAGCAATAAAGCTATATTGAATCATTCTAATTATTTAGACATATTGTATAACACTTGCATATTGTAATACTAACCAGCTACACTGTAAAAAATAGTTTCAAGATTTGTTATCACAACATATTTTCTTTTGTCAAATCAACTTTATAATAATTTATTTAGTTGAGATAACTTATTATTTTGAGTTTCTGATGGTTAAATTAATCTACTTCATTGTATTAACTCACTTTTTCCAGTTAAATCAACTTAAAATTTTAAGGCAACCCAGGTTACTTACATTAAGTTAAACCAACAATATTTTTTTACAGTGTAGTAATCACAACATTTTTTCTTTTGTCAAATCAACTTAAATAATTTATTTAGTTCAGATAACATATAATTTTGAGTTTCTGATGGTTAAATTAATCTCCTTCATTGTATTAACTCACTTTTTCCAGGCAATTTTAAAATTTTAAGGCAACCAGGTTACTTACTTTTTTAAGTTAAACCATCAATATTTTTTTACAGTAATTGTACATCTGTAAACTGGACAGATGCAGAGAGAGAAAAAGAGTTAGAGTGAGATACATCTAGATGATAAATCCCACCAAATCTGTCAGGAACAAACTATTTTTGTGAAGATGATGTTTTGTATTGTCACATTATTGTCGAGACAATTAAACACAAAATTTAAAATTTTCCATTCATCCCTAGTGAAAAAAACCTATAAAAAAATGTATTTAAACTACATTTATTTCATACAAAGTATACTACAAATCCTGTAACATATTGATTGAGACTTACTGATATAAATATTATATTTAAACTTTATTTGGAGTACTTTATTGCATAATACACTTTTCTTAATATTAATTTGTTTTAATAGGATTGTTTTAATACATTTCAGGATAGTATAATCAGATAATACCAGTCTTTAAATGCAAGATATTTAAAGTTACATTTTAGCACAATCAGATGTACTTAAGTATATCTTTAATAGCACTATTTCTGGATAACTAAAGTACATTAAGTACAAATTAGTTAAGTATATCAATTTAGTAAACTAAAAGTACAATTTCAGGGGTTTTATATTAAGTACTTAAATAAATGTATTAGTAGTGTACCTACCATAAAATAGATGTATTTAAAATATATTTTGGTACATTTATTTTTCACTAGGACTGTCATGCAGAAAAAAAGATACATTATTTACATTCTACATTTGAATTCAATACAGTGAAAAAACAAAGTCTATTACCCTTTTGCTTTCATTTAGCTCATTCCTTCAACTATTATAACGCAAATTGTTATAAATAAAACGAAACCACAGTTAAACAAAAAAATAAAACAGATGCATCATGGTAATTTAGTGAAAATGTCATGAAAATAATGCCTTAATGCAAAAAATCATAATGGTGCTAAAATTAAGCCTCATTTTATCATTCATTTCATAAAGGGCCCTATTTTAACAATTTAAAAGTGTGGTCTAAAGCGCACTTAGAGCGTGTCCGGATCCACTTTAGCTAGTTTAACGTCAGGACAAATGGTCGGCGCACCCGGAGCACGGTCTAAAAGGGTTGTCTCTATTCTCTAAAGTAATGGTGTGTTTTTGGCGTACCCACCATCTCCCATTCAAAAGCCAGTTGGACTCATGCTATGGCGAATTCGCTATTTACATGACGGGATTTGCAAACGGAAAGATTGAACATTTCTCCAGAGTTGCATCAAAATAGCAACACGTCAACAATGCGCCAGAACACACCTCGTTTTCAGACTAGCAGCCCATGGACGGACAAATGTGTGCAAATGCATTTGCTATTTAAACAACGTGGCGCAGACATGAAAATGATAACTGCGTCGGGCTGAAACTAGCAAAACACACTTGCGTCGCGTTTGGTGCTGCATTGCACCGGGTGTATGATAAGGCCCAAAATGTTTTCTTTCTTTCTTTTGATTTTGGGTTGAAACGTGATTTGGTGAGACTCCTGCAGACGGCTGTGTGTATTGTGAGGAGAAGTGTGTCTAATGAAGGAGCAGGGCAGACATGCTGAGCTCGTCATAATATATTTGCAGCATCTGCATCAGAGCGTCAGACTCAAACACTCTCTAAACATACGGACACTTTTGCAGTCTCATATCTTGCGAAGTATAATTACTGATTTTAGATATGAACAGGATTTAATCGAAACTCTCCATGGAGCGAAACTAATATCAGGGCTTTCCCATTGAATTCAAGCTTATACAGTACACACACACACACAAAAATCTAAACTTCCAGAACAGGCTGTGTTTGACTCTGAATAATAAGCGGACACATCAATCCCTGTCATTACACATCGTGGAGCTGAAAACACCCTGAGACTTTGCTCTTTCACAGCTCAAAACAAGCTTCATTTAAACCTAGTGTAGGTAATTTAAGAGAGGCTAGCAATAGCAAGCTAGTTTTGAAAGCATGAGATCCCACCCTCCCTTCAGAGCGTCTCCAAAACACATGAACGCACGCAAACAGCAGAGTCTGCAAAGCGTAACGAGAGATGGGGGTGAATTACCTCATGCCTCAAAGCTCCCTCAGGTGCTCTTCGGTCATTTCTGACTGAAAAATTTTCTGTTTTGAATCTCTAAAAATCACATCTTCATCGGAATGTTACGAAACTTGGTGACTTTTATGGCATTATGTATGTGAATACAAAAAAAAAAAATTGAGGTCATGATCCGAGCATGCTAAGTGGTCGTAAAAAAATAGTCACACTTGTGGTCTTCGGTCAAAAATGACCGACCCATAGGAAATGAATGGGAAATTGACAAAAAAAAAAAAAAAAAATTCTCTGAATTTTTGTAAGTGCAATCTACAAATCGGCCACAATTCTAAAAAAAAGTACACCGCAAGAAAGGGGTGACTGTCTACAACATCTAGAGTGCAAAACAGACAAACCCACACACGCACAAACACATACAAACACACTTTTATACACATACACACCAATAAATTTTGATTTCAAAAAATATGTTTTGAATTTTTAAAAATCACAGCTTCATCGGAATGTTACTAAACTTGGTGACTTTTATGGCATTATGTATGTGAACACACAAAAAAATTGAGGTCATGATCTGAGAATGCTGAGTGGTCTTAAAAAAAATAGTCACACTTGTGGTCTTTGGTCAAAAATAACCCCCATAGAAAATTAATGGGAAATTGACAAAAACTCAAAAATTCACAATTTTTTCTTTCTTTATTTATTTTTTTACATTTTTTTTTAATAAAAAAATCGTTTTTGAGATTGTTTCAACTATATATTCAAATCCACCAACAAAAAAAAATGTGTTCATAAACATCTGCGGAATACACATGCTTCTCCATAGAGAGCTGTACATGCCATCTAGTGGTTACACCATGATTCTACGCTTTTTCTCTATACTGTAACCAGATGGTGCTAATTTTCTTCAATTTTTTTTTTTTCTGAAGGCCTAGACTCTATATTAAACTAAAATACTGCATTAATAATTTTTTGAAAAAAATAATATATATATAGAAAAAATATATATATATTTTCCATGGCAAAAATAGACCATAAATATTGCATAAATATTAATAAATTCAATCAAATTGTCTCAAAATACTAAATTACAAAGAATAAATATTATAGAACAAAAATAAATTGCATTGGTTTTACTGCGATGGAGGAAATTTAATTAGGTGTCCGGTCACTTTTAACCGGGAAAAAAAAAACAAACAAAAAAACTTTTAACCGGGAAGATAACAAGTGTGACTCCGAAACGAAGAGCACCTGAGGGTTAATTAAAGACCAAACGTTTGTTTCGGTCATGCTCATTTTCCAATCTAGCTAGTTTTCAGTCAGCAGGTGAAACGGTGAGGTTGAGTGATGTCATTCTATGGAGGCGTGTTAAGAGCGGGTTTTAGGGGCTAAATTTTGGACTCAGTGCTTGAGGTCTGAGAGCTATTGTCTGGCACTCTGTTAGCCCTGGCTCGCCAGACAGTGGGAAAGCGGCTAATGAGATCTCTTCTTTGTTAGGAGAGATTCATGTGAAAATTACTGGGGTTTTATTCTAAGGAGAAACATCTGAGAAGCATAAGACTTGGTGAAAGTCCTATTAAAATAGTTGTAAAATCCAGGAAAAACACTTCAGATATTAAAGATATCTCACTTGGGATTTTTCTTCCCAGTGGCAGTCTAAAGATTAAAATTGAGTGTTGTGTGTGTCTTACTTTGGCGAACAGTGAACCCACAAGTCTTTCAGTGGCAGATTTAAAAGCAGCTGTACTCTGTTTCTTATATAATGCTTCATTTGTCTTCTCCACCTGCAGCAAACACAATAGAAAGACAATTTCTTGCAGTCAAAAATTAATGTAATACTGTAATGACATATTCATATTGATGAAATTCAAATAAAATTTGAGCCTGTTTTTCTTATAATTAGACTATAGTACACAAGAACACACTAGGATTTCATATGTTTATAATTCCTGCATGAAAGCTGCTGATCACGATCAACTTATATTGTATGAAAAAAAAAAACAGGTTCGAAATTCTCCAAAAATCCACAGAAGAAAATGAATTAAATTAGTTTAAAACAGCAAGAAGTTGAATAAATGCTGACAGATCTTTCGCTTTTGAGTGAACTATTTCTTTTAATTATGTGCTGGTGTATTTTAGCAGCTCTGAGGTGCCTGTGTGATCTCTGTTGACAGAATAAAAATTCCTCTCTGGTTCAACTTATAATGAAAAATCATAATCTCCACTATCGTGACGCTAGAGACCAGATACACCAGGTCCTCAACTCAGACTGCAGGTTACGTTCAGAATGAAATACTACCTTTTTACACAATACATTACGCACTGTAGGCATTCTATTTTTTAATAAAATGTCATTAATTGAAACAAAACCGAAGTGGTTATTTGTAAAAATGCCTTTTGACGTCGTAGCCCTCAAACCATATTTATTCACTTTATAGCCCTTAATCCTTTAATTGTGGACAAATGTGTGCACAGAGGACTCAGGTGTGATCCTAATTTTTATTTATTATAAATGTTAAATCACTGTCTTCGATAAAGTTTTGTCTATCCATTTATGGTGTTTTTTTTTTTAATTTTGGGGGTATTTTTTTATTTATTTACTTCAAAAAGTACCATATTTTCTATGCAAATTATGTTTATTTTTATGTTTATTTTTAAAATTATTAACTACATTAAAATATAATTTCAATAAGTTCTTAGAGCTAAAACCTAAAGATGAAGTGACTTTGCGGTCACCTGGTGTCTTATTTTGGCTTATTTTATAATGCTCTAAATGACAGTTTTTCCCATTCATTTCTATGGGTGCCCATTTTTGACCCAAATACAACATTAAGGAGTTTTTTTTTCACCCACTTAACATTGTAGAAATAATTTGTGTGCGTTCAGGAGGCAAACTTAGGAAAAGTAGCCAAGTCTTGTACCGCTCAGATCAAGGGAAGTATTTTTTAAAAATAAATCAAAACTATTTTGCCCACATTTGTCCAGAATACAGTTTTAGGGATATCCAATGAATCAAGGAGGAGATTTGTGGTTGCTATTACATTTATCAATTGTAATCAAGTGCATTGCATTGTGGGATAAAGTATCCCCCAAAGTGTGCCTATTGCACATTTTAGCGTCTGTGTGTGCATACTGTACTTAATGTACATTACTGTACAAGATTATTTTTAAAGAAATTAATACTTTTATTATGCATGGATGCATCAAATTGAACAAAAGTGACAGAAAATACATTTAATTATAATCTTAAAAAAAATCTTTTGAACCTTTTTATTCATCAAAGAAAATGTGTCATGGTTTCCGCAAAAATATGAAGCAGCACAACTATAATAATCAGAAATGTTTCTTGAGCAGCAAATCAACATATTAGAATGATTTCTGAAGGATCATGTGACACTGAAGACTGGAGTAATGATGCTGAAAATTCAGCTTTGATCACAGGAATAAATTACCATTCATTTTAAACTATATTCAAGGAGAAAATAGTTCTTTTAAACTGTAATAATGCAATTATATCCAAGTTTCCTGTGAAATACTTCACAGGGAGGGAGGGATTTGCCGGCCACAATACATAATGTTAAATTTGAATCTTACAAATATGTACCATGATAACCACAGTATAAGTGCATCCATTTTATTATCCACCAGGGAAAAGTCTCATCCCTTAGAAAAGTAAAAGCACACTTCTCAAAAAGCCAACAAGCAAATCAAGGTTGCATTCACGTCCGTGGCATGAATGATTGATTCTTCATTCAAATCCCTCACCCTGAGAATACGCAACAGTAATTAACAGTGATGTTTGCTATGGAATACAGAAACTGCGGTATTTTGGCAGAAACTACGGTTTTCACGGTACAATTTGAAAGGATAGGCTCTAGGTAAACTCCAGGCAAAACTGACATTTAGTGAACGCTGAGAAATATTTAGTTCAAGGGGATTTATGAAAGATTTATTCGATTCGTTGGGTGAAGCCCCCTGAAAAGTCTGAATAAGCTCCCAAGGGCTCTGGCGGATTAGTCTACAATAGACAATAGACAATGAGAGCACACTTTCTGGCCTGAAGAACGGCTCACCTTGTACTGAGCCGGCCCCGGGGTGCTCATTTCCTCTTTGCTGGGGAGAAAAGGGCGGCGTGGTGCAACAGAGCCAAAGGCGCCCTTCCTTCTGCTCCTCAGACAGGCTTTCTTCAAACTCTCCTGAGCCAGGCCATAATCAAACACGTTATAGGCACCGGGACCTAGAAAAGCACACAGCACATCCTGATTTTACCGAGTGAGACGAACATATATTGTTGATCCTGGTCTGAAAATTTAGTCCTAACCCTAAACCGGTGAATAACACTGGCGTAGAAGCACCTAATCCTGGCTGTGAGCCTAAACTTGACATAAACTAAACTTGTCCCTCAATTCTGATTGGTTGATTGGAATGTTGCTCAAGGATCAGCAAAGATGTCGATCCAGGAACATCCGCAAATACATGCATGAGTAAGACATTTAGTTACTATTGGACTATTGGGGTTGGTAAGATTTTTTTTTACTGTTTTTGAAGTCTCTTCTGCTCAGCATGGCTGCATCTACTTGATCAAAAATACAGTAAAAACTGTAATATTGTGAAATATTATTATAATTTAAAATAACTGTTTTCTATTTGAATATATTGTAAAATGTAATTTATACCTGTGATCATCATTACTGCCTCCTTATTGTCTCCTTTGTTCCGTTTCCCGCCACTTGTTTGTCTCCCAGGTTACTCATTGCATTCTAGTTTGTTTCTATGGTTACTCATACTGTAAATTTCCTAATTTGTATCACCTGTGTTAATCCAATCATCTTTGTTATATATATATATAATACGTATATATATTTGAAGAGTTCAGATGCAAAAGCCTCTAAATGCCATTTGAAATTTTCTTCTTTAATGATGATTTTTTTATCAAACTTGTATATTTAAGTTCAGTAATTTCACTTAAATGGCAATGATAATTACCTATTAATTGTTATTTAAGTGAAATTACTGAACTTAAATATAGAAGTTTGATAAAAAATCATCATTAAAGAAGAAAATTTCAAATGGCATTTAGAGGCTTTTGCATCTGAACTCTTCATATATACTGTATATAGTATATCTACTCAAGGGACAAATCTATAGAAATGAAACTTGGGTATCTTTTAGAGTATTCAATGTTCTGCTTGTTAAGCTATTATCACTAAAGGTGTCACTTTTGTTGCCAATTGGATGTTATTTTCAGAGGACAGTTAATATAATACAAGCAGCACATTGAACATATCCAAGTTTCATTTCTATAGATTTGTCCTTTGAGTAGATATACTAAAATGTTTGCTGAAATGTGAGGGGTGTACTCACTTTTGTGAGATACTGTATATATTTGTATATATATGTCTGTGTTTTTGTTGTCATTGGTCGGTTCTCGTTATTGCTTATGTTCAGTTTAAAACTGTCACCGTCCCACAGGTGGGACACTTGCCATTATATTTTTAAAACAATAATATCTTAGAAAATACCTTAAGTAATATTGACAAACTATATATCATTTGAAAGCTTACAATCTCTAGTTTCCATATTCGGTGACTGATTTTCAAAATAATTTACACAGGAGCCGTAATTTATCAGTTTGCGACAAGAATATTTTCATACTCATAAAGCGTGTTCAGACCTTTATTTTGAAATAGCGATGAACATGAAAAATCATGAAAAAAGTTAGAAACCTCAGTTTGATTTCATGCCAAGAGTTCAAAAGATAGCATCCATTCAATTATTTTACAAAAAAAGGTCTGAAAATGTTTTAAATATTACGAAAAAAAATAAATAAAAATTCACCATTTGTGTTATGGCAATAAGCTATATTATAGCATGCGTGTTCCTTGTATGGGTTTCTTAGAGGTTGAATTCATATCAAAATCTGCCAAACTTCCCATTCTACTTCTGAATAGGATTTCTACGGAGGCGTATTGCATTCACTTGAAGAAAAAAAAAAATCTACTCTGTTTTTCTGAATTAACGAGTTAATTTTTCATGAGAAAATTTTTTTGCTGTTTTTCTGAATTAATGAGTTAATTTTTCATGAGAAAAAAAAAAATTTTCTCTGTTTTTCTGAATTAATGAGTTAATTTTTCATGAGAAAATTTTTTTTTGCTCTGTTATTCTGAATTAACGAGTTAATTTTTCATGAGAAATTTTTTTTGCTCTGTTTTTCTGAATTAATGAGTTAATTTTTCATGAGAAAAAAAGTTTTTCTCTGTTTTTCTGAATTAATGAGTTAATTTTTCATGGAATTTTTTTTTTGCTCTGTTTTTCTGAATTAACGAGTTAATTCAGAAAAAACAGAGCAAAAACTTTTTTTCTCACAAAAAATTAACTCATTAATTCAGAAAAACAGAGAAAAAAATATTTTCTCATGAAAAATTAACTCATTAATTCAGAAAAACAGAGACAAACTTTTTTTCTCATGAAAAATTAACTCATTAATTCAGAAAAACAGAGCAAAAAAAATTCTCATGAAAAATTAACTCGTTAATTCAGAAAAACAGAGCAAAAAAAAAATTTCTCATGAAAAATTAACTCATTAATTCAGAAAAACAGAGCAATTTTTTTTCTCATGAAAAATTAACTCATTAATTCAGAAAAACAGAGTAGATTTTTTTTCTTCAAGTGAATGCAATACACCTCCGTAGATTTCTACTTCATAAATTGTGTGAAATTTGTGGAAATAATGGTTCATATCAACTCAAAACACATATGGAAATGGAGGCGCCCTTATATGGGCTGTAATGGAGTCTGGTTGTGCCCTAGTGGAAGCGTTCGGTACTGCGACCAAACAAAATCTCACTGAAAGCTCATTTTTTGAGATATCAACCTAAAATTTGAAACACAACTTGTTCAGATTTTTGGCTTTGATTTTTCTGCAGTTTTAGATTAGCCCAGGTTTTGAAAATATATATTTTATATAAAATATGCATAATTCATTTTTTTACATTGTACATTTCTATAAACTCAAACTTCTATAACTTTTTTTCATTTTCACTTTCCTAATTTATTTCACTTCGAGAAAAATCTGCCAAATGTCTTCTTTAAAACAAGACCAATCATATGTCTATATTCCAAAGCATTCTTGAATTACAACCATTTAAGTTTGAAATGAGCATTTCCATGTCTATTCAAAAGGGGGGTGACAGTTAAGAGGTTAAAAAATTGTACACTATCCAGGCACCTTTGGCATTCAATTT